GGTGGTACACAATGTACACGCAAGTTACATGTTGTTGAAATTGAATGTATTCTTACTCACAAGAGTACAATTATATCTTCTCGAGCATAAACGAAATGCGTAACACGCTATATGCAATGTATGTATAAATACTGGATATAGAGGTAATTTTATGATTTGGACTGTGTTCACAATTAGGTGACACTGTTTTATACAGCCTTATTGACGCCTTCACATGCCATACAACTGATGACAACGAGGACGTACAAGGATAATTAACGCAGCTAACGTAGCTGCATGTAGTGGATGCTTAGTTACATCTAACTACATAGAAAAGCAGGTACTCATTTAATAACCATTTAATAGCAAAGGTTATAAACTGTACGTTTGTAGTGTGGGTTCAAAGATGAACAAGACAGAACTCGGGGCAAAATGTGATTGGCTTACAATCTGCATCATCGAAGTTTAGACTGTATTTGTAACATGCATGTTACTGATTAAGCCAGATTATTTGCAGTTTATCTAGCTTGCTGCGTTAATAAACGAAGTATGGCCAATATACTTGAATTTACAGAGATCGGAATGACGTACACACTCGGCTGTACGCCATAGTACATTGTCAAAAGCTATAATATACGTACAGTTGCAATATGGTAAAATAATTAGGCAATATGTTTGATGATAACATTTGAAAAGATCAAAAAATGCAATTACATTCATAAATAAAATATGCACGGATGTAGCAGCCAGGCAAATAATTAGTAGTAGGCAGTAGTAGTTGGTAGTAGCAAAATATGGTACGCGCACACGTGCTCGCACGTGCGTACGCACACGACACTGTGTGTTCTACTTATGATTGTGATGATCTCGGACCCAGAGAACGTTGTAATCACTTGCACGATACACTTAGCTTGCCATGTCATACGTGTTGATTTACAGTTTCGTGCAATCAAATCATTTGATTTGGAAAGCATAGATCTTATTTCACAATTTGATGTTCCTTTGCTGAAAAACAAGCTAAGACGAGACTCCCATAACAGTTAGTTTTCCCTCTACTGAATTGTTATACTAACGTAGAATGTTCAATTGAATATTGTTGGCGAATAAAAGAAATAAAGTCATGTTTAATGTGTGACTGCAATCAGTAAAAGCATGTCAGAGAATTTGGTTTTGGATCAGTACAAGTACATTTTGAACTAATCTGGAAAAACAAACGACTTCCCTCAACATGGTACCGAGTTTGAACAAAATCCAGCCTACTCGTACGACCGGCCCAGGAATGCCCTGACCTACAACCTGCCGGTTTTTTGCAAGGATCGAGGCTAGACCCATTCTTTTTTTATTTATATTAATGATAGCCAATTCTACACATTCATTTCATTTTTGAATCTTTGCAGATGATACAAACCTATTTAAATTCATTCAAAACAACAAATTCAATCTCTCGTAATATGATAACGACCTTCAAAGTGTCCATGAGCGGGGCAATGCTAACGAACTTACTATTAATCATGAAAAAAAAATACATGAAAATTGCTGCTGCTCTTTTGTTTTAAAAACTAAAAATACTAGTCATTATTTCACTCTTCGAATTACAACGATTTATACACATCATCACATTGAAAATTATAAAACCTGCTTAGCCTGTAACAAGCGTACAACATAACATTAAACTCATTGCCTGATGCATTTAAAACCAGCACTTACAGACATATATTCCAGGCAAAGTTAAAACCCTATTTCTTCAATTTTTTATTTCTTTATTTGACGATTTTTTGTTTAAACTATAAATTATATATACATAGGTTACGGACCCAACTAGTTCTATATCATTATGTAATCTCCACCAAAACAGAAAAGTATTATGGGTAGCAATTATTAATTATTCACGTGCGTAATATGTATGGTTCAAGTGGGAAGTTTGAAATTGATCACCTAAGGCTTGTCCAATATACAGGTGGTGACGCACGAATGGATACTTATGTATGTATAACCTGAATGCCTTTATTCCTGAATCTTTTATTTTACGAATATATCTTTGATGGCACATAACAGTTGTCGAGCCGGAGTAAGTTAAGTGTATATAACAGATATCCTCATTAATTATACTTATTTTCAGTATGGATTACAACAATTATGCCACTGTTGCTGATTACACGGGTTTAAACACTCGTTGCCTGGAGGAAGTTAATCCGACTCAGCAAATCCTTAGCAAAGTGTACATATTCCCATAGACATCTTGGTGCCATTTTCCAACTGAAGTACTTTTTAGTACTCGAAATTGTTAATCTTGTAAGCGAGTATGGCAATTAAAGCAATATTACTATATAAATATATAATTTGTTTTTTGAAACAGCATGGAATTCATATATCGCTATATAAATACACTTTGAAGTATTCGAGTTTGTATGCAACAGGTCGTATTCGACCAGTTAAAAAATGTATAAAAAATTAATTATGCTTATATATGAAATTTCATTTATTATACCTGTAGTAGAAAATAACCACATATTGCAATGCCATATGTGCAGTGACAGTGTGCATGGAGCTGAACAAGTTTTTGTATATTATGGTAAACATTTCTGTTGTTCACAGTTGAGCCTCAGGTTTTATCACTCCCTATCACTAACTGTAGTTCAGTGGAGTTTACCACCAAGTTACCTAATTCTAACCGCACAACAACACTAAAACACCTTCTGGCATGATCCTCGTCACGTGATAGCGTTACACAACATAGTATACTCAAGTTCTAACCTAGCTATGTCATATCTAGATCCATATGATCATCTAGTAAACTAGATTCAGACTTGTCAGAGACAACGTCACCGTGTACGTATGCATGAAGCTACAGCTTGGTGTGACCTAAACTATGTTAGTGTTTCTGCCTTATGTCTCAGTGGTAAACACATCCATCTTTGCTATGTAGTAACACTTTTTATCTCCACAATCGATTTACTACAATAAACACCATTTCATTGCCAGTACATTCTGCATGTCAATTTGAGGTGAGTAAACAAAGCAAAGTACATAAATATTTGCTATATCATTCATGACATTCATTGACAAAACATGAATGAAATGAAATCAGCCAACTGCAATGTATCCACTGTGACATTAACTATGAATCATGATTACTACTACATAGTAATGACTCACACAACACAGTTCAACAGTTCAGTGATAACAAGCAATCGAATGTAACTTCACAAATATCACTGTATAACATATCAGCCAGCCCTAAACCCAAACTTCAAACAAATCCCCATATTACAATAGTCTTAATGACGTCACAATATTTACTAATCGTAATAACACATACAATAGCACGACTCGCACAGAAAGGTAACAATTCATAAGCTCGACAAATGTGAAAGCACACACTAATCATGACATAATTTCTGTTCAACTTGAGCAATGTGTCAAGAATTGGCGCCCTGGCGAACAATAATTCAACGGCAGATAAACCATGCATCGAAACAATAATGTTTGCACTCAAGATCCGAAAAGAACAATACCTTAACAGAACAGCTTTAAAACACGGATTAACCCCGTGAAACCGGAACAGGAGCGGTGGTCAAATCACCACAAGGGTAGAGGGATTTCGGGTTGCTAATAAACGATCATTACCACATGTCCAACTCGTCATCGGCCTGAGTATTATGACAGTTTATTATCACGATGGGTGTGACACCCGGTTATGGCAAAGTCGGCCAATCACACATAAAGCATACCGTATATCTAGAGATTCTTTTTTGCTTACTCGCTCGGTGCTTCAACGTCAGCCTCCTGAGGTTTTCCAATTATGAAAATAAGTTCGTGTCACAGGATTCAGGGCTCCCCGAGGTTCATGGCTGACCACACCGGTAACTCAAATTATCCTTCTCTCTGCCATAAGTGTTCATTAGGAATTAGCTCAGTGACTCGGCCGATTTAGATGTAAGTTCAGATTTTCTAGCACCTTATTTTTTCACCAATCCTGGTCAGAGGTCGGTCACTATAAATAAACATCTCGCTCCTGTACTAATCTGACACACCCCAGCCGCAAACGCATTCACGTCCTTGGAATGCAAGTAAATAGCCAAGTTCACAGCCCTGCCTTCCAAGTGGGCGGTAATCAATTACCATGACGACTGCCAATAATCATCCAATGAATCTTCTCATGTGATTTATCATGCACTCCCGACTCTAAATACACTTGCTTATGTGGCACATGCTGATCATATATGAAGTCTTTCACCCCTTACTGCAGTTGTAGATTCCTATAGCAGAGATGCATAACTCAGTATAATTTATAAGGGGAATAAGGGTACATTTAGACAAAAATTCCCTCTCCCTATCATGTAGTAGAGAATTATGGAAAAAGAAGATACTACACAAACGTGAGTGTATACCACACATTCACACCAAGCCGGGTACACACACTATCAGCAATCACATCTCATGTCAGACACAAATGACAATTTTACAACACAAAAATCTTACCTTTAATTACCTTCTCGACCTCTGACAGAAAAGACAGAAAAGACGCTTGTGTCCACATGTTACCAATCCACCTGTCAATCGACCAAAACACCCACCATCTAGAATACCCGTCCCTAAGCTATGCTACAGGAAGGGATCGCTCAAATATCTATGCACAGCAGACATGCAACCAAATGAGGGACGCCAAATTGAACAAAATTAAATAATATACCAAGAAATGTTACACAAAAGTCTAGCATTGTTTGTACATGTGAGATGCACATAGAGATCTAGTACTCACACGAGCCAAGTAGAAACAATTATTATCGCCCCTAAATTCCATATCAAAGCTGTTATCAAGGACTGTATCATTTTGTCTCATAGGTGTAAAAGCTGGTGTTCTAGGATTGATTTTGGACTTGACTAGTGTATGCGAACAGTCAATCCCATATCGCAAGAAAAGTCTCCAGTTTCTTAATGGGTATTGACTGGTCTAGTTGCCATGACAACAGAGTCAGTCTCAGATACAACAGCTCCATCATTAGACATTGTTGCTGTCTCTACTTTACTGTATCATCTGGCACCGCATCTGCCTTCACTTCTGATTCAGAATCCAATTCCATCTCTGGGGGATACAGTGAACATGGTCTTCATGCAACAGCAGTTATGGTCCCTGTCTACTGATTCCCACTCACGACCATTACTCCCCATTGACATTAGTTCAGGGGTTGCATTAGCAACTTCATGAGGTAAGCACTCTCACTCTTCAGCACTTGTTCTTGCAAATAATCTTTGTATGGTGCATTGAGATGCTCTGGCTCTTTGTCTCCCCACTCTTTTGACTGGTTTGTCAAGTTCTCATATTGTTGGACGTGTTTCTGCGGGCCTCGATGCTGCATGAAAAGACAACCAGAAGTTACGATGCAAGTTCGACATTTTGCCACCCTTCTAAGGTTTCACATGTCTTATGTGGATCCTTTTCCTACTGATCAGCAAGCAACATGGATAACCAGGTTTGATGTGTTGATGTGTTGGCAAAGTTTTGATGGTATACATAATATAGATGAAACTCCAAGTTGAAATGGCTATTTAAGTATGCTCCGATAATATGAAGGGGCAACTTTTAAGTCAAATATAAAGAAGTTTTACTATACCAACGAGTTTAGTGAGGTTTAGTTTTTGGTGAGGCTTTGCAAGCTCACTTGGGATTCCCCCATTCCAACAGTGAGAGGTCGAGTGACCATCTTGTAAAAGCTAAGGACAAAACAGACCACCAATCCTGAAATTAAGAGTACATGTGGAAATGTCATTTGCCTACATATACAAAATCGATTGGAGTACACATGTAAAGTGGTTCAGATAAAACTGGGCAAATCCATCAATCGGCATCGAGTCCGACAAACGTACAAGCTTTGATCTTTTACCATGGGAGATATGGTACTTGTTTTCTTGCTATGATCCAGGATAAGCTCTGGAGCAATGGCAAGGAACATATCATGTGAATGAATGAATCAGGCAAAATGACTATCCTATACAAGAAGATGGTACAGATAAAGTCCAATCTGATAAAGGAGTACGAGGTAAGAAACTATAGTGATGACAATGCAGTATATATTGTCACTTGTATGGAATGCTCATATCTTAGAATGGGGGGAGGGTATGGCACGTTGTTTCGTATAATAGGAAATTAATTACGTGTTGAACACAAGATGTGTAAATTATGTATTTATTATTGCGATGGATAATTAAATTTCGATTCACGAGCAAGACAAACACACTGTAATCAAACAAGCACCTCTGTACGCCACAGTCATGCGAATCTGTATCCTTTCAGACAACGACATACACAAAGCCAGATATTCAAGTACTAAGATAAGTTGCGTCAGGGGAAACATCGTACAGGCAGTTTTCGAATATATATGAGATTCGAACTTGAGACCACGGAAAACCGAGTTTAAATAAATTAAACTAGTAGTAATTTAAATATTATACCCATCCAATTTGACTAACCTCTAGTCATAATGCCAAACAGATTGTGCCCATCGAATTGCGTATCTAAATAAAATTAAACATCATGATACTTTCAACATAAACTGCAGTTGCACAGGTATGTAGATTTGTGGATGCAGTACAAGACTTCTGAAACGTTTGTAATTCAGTTGAAAAAGATAGAATATCTATTATTACGCTCCTCTGACCTCTGAAAGATTGTATCATGTATTTGTTATGCGACACATCTACCCATTTAGTAACCGATTAATTAAAATTGCTACTGTGTGGCATGGAGAATGAAGACATTTGAATTCATCCTTAACTGTTAAGTGTGATAGCGAAGTTTATACCTGGAACTGATGTAAATCGATGTCACGTTGCTGTGTGCAGCAAGTCGAGGAATAGGAATACGTGAATATGATTACCGACACATTGTGCCATACTAATGATTGGGGATGTTTTATGTATCAAGTGTATTCTAACAGACGCGATAGGGAAAACACAGTTGGTAATGCTCTGACATTATTGTGTTGGAGGCGAGCTTACAATTTTTATGTTTTATCCCATAGTCTTTTATTATCGTGATGTGATCTAATTTTATTTTGATATTTTCTCATATACTGATGCTACACTGCTACACTGCTTTTCTTTGCATTTCAACGCCACAATACCAACAGTCAATGTATTTAGTCGTACCTTCTCTTGCACTAACCAATTCAACTGCCACTGTGCAACTAGTGGATTAATAATATTTAATCCATGTTTATGTAGCTTTGGGTTGTAGATTATCATCCTCTTACCCTTCATTAATCCTAAGCTACACATTAAGTAACAATTTGTATAACAATTTGTTTACTACTTTAATTTAATCCAATTAAACTCAATTAAAACCCTATGAATATAATTGAGTTTAAAAAAATAGCATTCTTATATGGCACAATTCAATTTAAAATGGCAAATCCCGGTCTAATGGTGGCTTCTATAGTGCATACCACATTATTATCCAGCTTCATCTCAAACTCATTGTATATGGACGAGTGTGTGCATACTGGAACTATATAGTTCAATTTGTCATTAGCACTTTGCGTCGCTAATATGCTTATGAGTCA